AATACTATAATAATAATAATAATAATAAGGTGTTGGAATGATTCTGTCTCTGCTCCTGCAGGAACTTGATGATGATGATGATGATGAAGAGTGAGTGTGTCCTCCGGGTCTGATCAGGATCAGTAGTTCTCCGCTCTCAGACCCGTGGTCTTCAGGGATGGCGTTTCACGGCGCCGGCCAGCAGGCAGTCTGTGGAGATCTGTTTCCAGGTTCTGAGCTGGGCCACAAGTATTTCTGCGTGGGCTCCTCCTGCGGAGCTCCCTCCACCGGCCTCAGTGCCACGCCATGCCTGAACGGACCCACGGCCCCGGCCGGGACCCCTCGTCACCCCACGGCCCTCGGAGGCAGCGCCGGCGGCGGGGCGGCGGTGCCTCAGCCCTACAGCAACCCGGCCAGCGAGGTGCCCAGCCCTGCGGAGATGGAGCCGGACCGGCCCATCGGTTACGGTGCTTTTGGAGTCGTTTGGTAACTCGGACCCTCCTGACTTGAATCAAAGCATTTCTCCTGGTGTCCGAGGATCTGATTGGATGTTGTGGTTCTGCTGCAGGTCCGTCACGGATCCTCGGGATGGTCGAAAGGTGGCTCTGAAGAAGATGCCCAACGTTTTCCAGAACCTGGTCTCCTGTAAGAGGGTCTTCAGAGAGCTGAGGATGCTGTGCTTTTTTAAACACGACAACGTAAGGACCAGGTCCGGGTGCTGTGGTGGTCTGGTTCTGTTCTGATGACGTCCTGAAGGTCTGGTTTTTGTCTCTGCAGGTTCTGTCAGCTCTGGACATCCTGCAGCCTCCACAGATCGACTGCTTTGAGGAAATGTATTCTTTCAGTTAGGAAGTCAGAACCAGGTGGTGGCCCTAAGACCACTGCTGTCCCAGTGCCCCTTCATGAAGTGTCCTCCTTTAAGTCTCTTTGTTGAGCTGCTGGTTCAGGTTCAGGTTCAGGTTCTGGTTCTGGTGGATCTGTTGTTAGACAGACGTGTGTTTTCTTTGACACAGCCTCACAGATACGTGATCACAGAGCTGATGCAGAGCGACCTCCACAAGGTCATCGTGTCTCCTCAGCCTCTCACCACAGACCACATCAAGGTCTTCCTGTACCAGATCCTCCGAGGTGAGTCACTGTCCAGACCAGCCAGACCAGGGTTCACTCTAGGACGGTCTCAGACTTGTCCCTGATGTGTCCTCTGTGTGAGCGTCATCGTCTCGTTGGAAAAGACAGAATTTAATCCTTAACTTAACTGACCTCTAATCAAGGTGATCTCCAGGTTAGTCCTGCTGGTCCAGGTTAGTCCTGCTGGTCCAGGTTAGTCCTGCTGGTCCAGGTTAGCTCTGCTGGTCCAGGTTAGTCCTGCTGGTCCCGGTTAGTCCTGCTGGTCCAGGTTAGCTCTGCTGGTCCAGGTTAGCTCTGCTGGTCCAGGTTAGTTAGTCCTGCTGGTCCAGGTTAGTCCTGCTGGACCAGGTTAGCTCTGCTGGTCCAGGTTAGTTAGTCCTGCTGGTCCAGGTTAGTCCTGCTGGACCAGGTTAGCTCTGCTGGTCCAGGTTAGTCCTGCTGGTCCAGGTTAGCTCTGCTGGTCCAGGTTAGTCCTGCTGGTCCAGGTTAGCTCTGCTGGTCCAGAAACCAGTTTTCAGGCTGAGCTGGTTCTTCAGGGGAGAGTTGATGTAGACACCTGATGATGATGATGGTTTTGTCCTTCAGGTTTGAAGTACCTTCACTCTGCTGGGATTTTGCACCGAGACATCAAACCTGGAAACCTGCTGGTCAACAGCAACTGTCTGCTGAAGGTGACACCTGTCTGTTTACAGTAAATAAAGCCTGTTGTTTACAGTAAATAAATCCAGTTGTTTACAGGTAAATGACTGGTTGTTTACAGTAAATAAATCCTGTTGTTTACAGTAAATAAATCCTGTTGTTTACAGTAAATAAATCCAGTTGTTTACGGTAAATAAATCCAGTTGTTTACAGTAAATAAAGCCTGTTGTTTACGGTAAATAAATCCAGTTGTTTACAGTGAATAAAGCCTGTTGTTTACAGGTAAATAAATCCAGTTGTTTACAATAAATAAATCCAGTTGTTTACAGTAAATAAATCCAGTTGTTTACAGTGAATAAAGCCTGTTGTTTACAGGTAAATAGCTGGTTGATTACGGTAAATAAATCCAGTTGTTTACAGGTAAAGGACTCACGTTGACACTTTATTTTGGTTCAGATCTGTGACTTCGGCCTGGCCCGTGTGGAGGAACCCGACCCGTCTCGTCACATGACCCAGGAGGTGGTGACCCAGTACTACCGGGCTCCTGAAGTCCTGATGGGCTGCCGGCACTACGGCTCAGCCATCGATGTTTGGTCTGTGGGCTGCATCTTCGCCGAGCTTCTGGGCCGCAGGATCCTGTTCCAGGCCCAGAGTCCCATTCAGCAGGTCAGACAGACCGGGCTCTACTTGTTTATTAGATCAGAACCAGAACTCTCCGTCAGTGATAATCTGGATTATTGTTTTTTTCTGTCTGGTCCAGTTGGATCTGATCACAGACCTGCTGGGAACTCCGCCTCTGTCGGCTCTGGCCTCGGCCTGCGAAGGAGCCCGGGCCCACATCCTGAGGGGGCCCCACAAACCGGTATGGACCAGACCAGTTCTGGTCCCAGACCAGTTCAGCTTTGTCTTTTTTATTTTGAATTATTAATCATTTTAGATTAGATTAGATTAGATTAGATTAGATTAGATTAGATTAGATTAGATTAGATTAGATAGACCTTTATTG